CGCTGTGAGAGGCGCTTTCTGTGTGTGTGCTTCAGTGTCTGCGCTGAGCGAATTGAGCTATCTCTTGTGTCGTCAAATTTATCCATATATCTGCTCTTCTCTTACTCCCACATATTGACATTTTTTGAACGTTTTATGCGACGTGCAGCAAGTGTATGTTAGCTTATGTCCCGCCGGTTCATATGTACGCATCTAACCTCCGAACCACGCAGCAGATTCCTTCTGAATGAGTCTCTTCCCAAAGCGTCCCTCCCTAACATTTTTGTCTAGTTTTTATTTGTTGACAAAAATGTCAGTAGATTTACGTCATAGTTTTTGTCATTCAAAAAGAGTTTTAGTTTGTTATCGTCTCGTTGTCGTCGGTGAAAAACATGTCGTTGACGACAATTATGACAAATTATTTGTCAACAAAATTAACACTGGTCTTAGTGATGTCAGTGCCCTAAAAGATGTTATAATGGACTATTTCACATCCAGAGATGAAGGATCGGATGATGAAGTTACTAAAGAGAAGGAGTCCGATGACAGTCTGTTAGTTATATGCAGGTGCGCTGTGCTCGCTTTTCTAAATGTAAACTACAAGGTACACTATTCGTGATATCTAAAGATACAAGGGGTGATCAAAAGTTCAGAGACTATGCCCATCATGATAAACAACGGAAAACTGTCCTCTTCAGGGTAATGTTAGTCTGTTTGTGTAATGATGCAGTATAGCGCTCCTGACAGACAGCGATCATTAAGTAGAAGTGAAAGTGAAACCAGTCTCACTTTAAACCCGTTTCTCTCAAAATTCCATTCTGGAAAATCATAGCTATCAGCCAACTTTTGTTACGTTCAAGCTATGGACAAAATAAAAACAGTTTTGGAAAGGGCTTGAACCCAGCTTTCATATGGTATAAAAACCTAAAAAAGGAAAATTTCACCATGTGTTGGGTTTTCCTAGATCGCATCACATATACAGACTTATATGCCCTCTTGAAGCTTGTGTTCTGCAAGTGAACAGCATGTTATTGTTCATCCCAAAGAGGCACAAAATCACTTTCACAGACTTTTAAATTAAACGTTCCTTCAATCAGAGCAGCTGCCTAACTTAGCCATAAGTCCTTAGCCATTTTCAAGAATCGGCTAAAAACACATCTCTTCCATCTTTATTGGACCCTCTAACTCTAGCACTCTCT